TAATTTACTTTACAACTCCATTATGTCCCTTGCTTCAACTGGTTTAACATATCTAACGCTCATTATGACTCACACACACACACACACACACACACACACACACACACACACACACACACACACACACACACACACAAGGAGCCTACACAGCAGCAACACTCACTGACTGACACAAAACGTAGACAGGCAAAGCAAGGCAAACAAGCACGCAAAGTGCTCACCGTTGAATCCCTCGAGCACCGAGTCGACGATGGGCTGGGCACTGGTCGTGTAGATGGCCTCCTGCTGCGATTTGGTGCCATAAACATTGTCAAAGGTGTATGTCTTTGGTTCCTTGGATGGCTCCTGCCCGAGAAAACAAGGCGAATCAAACACACATGTGTGAATGGTCAAGTCAGCGGACACGCATGAGTGAGGGAGGCAAGCCATGAGCCAGCATGCCCAAAACAGCCAAACAAGAACACAAAGGAGTGCAGCCCAAAAGTACACACAACAACACAACAACACAGCTGTTCGCAGATAGAGCAGCTCACCTGCAAGTTCTTCACAGTAATGGTTCCTCTGTCCTCTGCCACATGAACGCACCTGTCGATTTCAAACCAAAAGACAAAGCGCGACACACACACACACACACACACAGCGCACGCACGCACGCACGCACAAACACACACACACAAGCACACACACACACACACAGCACACGCACACACACACACACATGCACGCACCCACACACACACATGCACGCACCCACACACCACGCACGCACGCACGCAAACGTTCTTCGTATGAGGGATGTCAAGTGCGACAAGCCAACACAACATCGGGTGTCTGGCAGCATAACATGCACACAACGACGCCTCGACCCGTTTTGACAACCCTCCTGTCGCTTCCCCTCTCACAAACGCAACAATCAAGATAGGCGATGTCGAGGTGAGATGTGGGATTACGTACTCTTGTCTGCCATCCTTGCGTTCTGTGCTGCTGAGAGGGCGACATCGGATCACCACCTTAACGTTATCGGCACTCTTGCTGCCACCAGACGCGCCCGACTTCTTCGCCTGCACGCCAGCCAGCCATGCGTGTGAGGGCTCGTGCACTCCACAAAAGGCCCACAAACCCGAGACAAACAAACACACACACACCACACACACACATTGCTGCTGTGCACATCACCTCCTTGCCAGCACAAGCCAACCCACACACACACACACACACACACACACACACACACACACACACACACACACACACACACACACACACACACACACAACGCACCATGTTTGTTGGTTGGTTGTTGTGGTGGTTGTGGTTGTTTCCGTTTTTTTCCTCTTATCTATCTCTGTGCTTCTGCCTTCAACCAAACAAACCGAAATCTGTCGGAAGATATTCGACAAAAAACGCGTCTGCCGCCAATTTTCGCAAACCACGAGGAGCTCTCCAGCCAGATCTCACAGCCACTTTCCAACCCACCACTGTCACCACCACCACCACCACCCTGTTGTTGCAGTGTCGTCGACTGCATGCCCTTGAACAAGCAAGCGAAGAAGTGAAGCGTCATCAAAATGGCGAAAGCGAAGAAGAACTCTGGTGATAGCAACAACGCCAGCAAGGGCGGGTGCTGCTGGAAGAAGTGCTGCTGCTGCTGCCCCTTCCTGAAGTGGATGTTCATCCTGGTTGGCCTGGTTGTCGTTTCCGGCAGCGTGTACCTGTACCACCACACGGATTACGTGTTTGACCCGGAGACGCTGCAGCGCATCGCCAAGGAGTCCATCGAGGCCAACAAGGCCACCCCTGACGACGTTGACCGCCTTGTGGACATTGTTGTGGACAAGCTGCGCGAGGAGTATGGCGAGCACATTGTGGAGCACCCAGAGTGGATGTTCAACAACGCCGGCGGCGCCATGGGTGCCATGCTCGTCCTTCACTGCAGCTTCTCCGAGTACATCATCATCTTCGGCACCCCGCTTGGCACCGAAGGTCACACTGGCCGATTCCTTGCTGATGACTACTTTACCATCCTCCACGGCGAGCAGGTGCGTCATGGGTGTGCGTGGGTGTGGGTGTGTATGTGCGTGTGCGTGCGTGTACGTGTGTATGCGTGTGCGTGCGTGCGTGCGTGTGTATGTGCGTGTTGATTGCTTTGATCTCCTTTCTCGCAATGCCTGCCTCACACACACACATGCGCACAACAACAAACAACAACAACAACAAACAACAACAACAACCATCGCGTGAGTGCAGTGGGCATTCTCTGCCGGCAACCTGACACGCGAGGTGTACAAGCCCGGTGACCAACACCATCTGTCTTTCGGCGAGGCCAAGCAGTACAAGATGGACGACACGTGCTGGGCCCTCGAGTACGCCGTCGGCAACATCCCCTCCATGCTTCCCTTTGGCTTTGCGGACGTCTTCTTCAGCACCCTCGACTTTATCACGCTCTACAAGACCGTGCGCGTGAGTGCCGTCAACATGTTCTCCGAGCTCATCCTTCGCGGCAAGATCTAAACGAGACCGACCAAGCAGGGCGCACACGCAAACGACATTCCCAAACACACGGCAGCAGTCGCAACACGGCAAGCTGTGTTTGTGTGTGTGTGTGTCTGTGTGTGTCTGTGTGTGTCTGTGTGTGTCTGTGTGTGTGTGTGTGTGTGTGTGTGTGTGTGTGTTGTGCTTTGGTCATTGTTGACTATGTGATGCAGCGGCCACTGATGCCCCTGTTTTGCTCGTTGACACGATGCCAGCATGTATGATGCATGATGTGATTAGTGACCAACAATGCGTGTTGTCGCTGAACAATACAACAAACCCGTTGTCACTGACATGCATGATGTGACATGATGTTCACGTGCTGCAAAAGAAAAGACAATTCATCTCCACAAACGTCTTGATGAAGAGTGTGTGTGTGCACCAGGCGTGGCGCTTGCTCGCGGTGAGCATGACGTAATCATGGGGTGTCACAGCCCTGCAGAAGGGGCGTGGCGTTCATGTTGCATGATGTAATGTAACACCAGTCTCGACAGGGCAGATGTTCGCGAACGGCATCTGACTGACATTCTGGCAGTGGTCGTGGCCAGGTGCAAAGACGAGTCATGTGGTGCCCTTTCACTTCCTGCAACCCTCCTCCCACTTGTCTCAAATGTCCCGTGACGTGCACTCACGGCAGCAGTGGTGTTACGTCCGTTGTATTGTTGGAACACACCAGAATGCGAAGAAGAACGAGAACGAGTCACAACACATCAAACCAAACGGGGAAACCATGTAGAAAGTGAAGAAAAGAGAGAAAGGAAAGCTCGGGCGACGAGTGCGCACAAGCAAGGCAGCCACTCAAAAAGCAACTCAGGATGTAACACTAGTGCTGATGTGAGAGGTTGCGGCACGCAAGCAAACAGAATAAATTACCTGTAACTGGGGAGAACCAAGCAGCAAAAGCAGAAACAAGAAAGAGAGACACACATAAAGCAGCACACAAAGCCTGGCAACAAAAGGCATGGTTGAAGACGGTGGAGGAAAAGGGTTATGTAAAGTCGAGCAAACAAAACACACATGAAGGGAGGATGGGAGTTCATCATGAAAACAAATCAGCCAACGCTCGCTTATGAGCGCAGTGCTGATCAAAATGCATCGGTGCTGTCATCGCTGTCGCTGGCGTGACCATCCACCTGCTGCACATACACGGCTGCGTTGCCGATTGGGAACAGACCACCGGCGCTGTCTCGCTTGCTCCGCTTGGCGTGGAGAAACGACGAGGGATCATCGGTGGTGGTTGGGCCACCAGGCGTGGGATAATGTGATGAGGACACAGACGCAAGCCGCGACGGTGCTGTGGAAGACCGGGCCGAGGACGATCTGGAGGCGGCCGGTGCTGGCGCCAGCTCCGATTCATCCACCGGGCACCGGGTGCGCCCCGCCCGCTTGCTGGAGGGCCTGCTCGGTGGCCTCGTGCTGGGTCGTGTCGCAGTGGTGTCGACACCACCAGCACCAGCGCTGCCCTGTGGCCTGTCGCCAGCGCTGGCCGAAGTAGCATCAGCGTCAGCTGCGCGCGTGGAGCCGGCCCGTTGCCGCCGTAGTCTGACACCATCCTCCCCGCAGTCCATGTTGGGACGTGCGGTTCGGCTGGTATAAGCGGGGGTGGCAGCGGCAGTTGCGGCTGCAGTGGTGGTGGTGGCGTCCTGGGTTTGTGGGAGCGTCATGGTGCTGAGTTGGTGCGACAAGTCCCCTCGCTTGGGTTCCTCCTCCTGCGCTGCCTCCTTGAGTGTCGGCAATGTAGGCATTGTCGGCAGCCGTGGCCGCCGTGCTCGCATGGCACTCCCTGACGCCGGCGCTGGTGCTGGTGCAGTCGACGGCCGCGCCGGCTGTGGCGTTGTTGCACTTGGTGTTGTCGTCATCGATGTTGTTGTTGTTGGAGGGGTGGTTGTCATTGTTGTTGTTGTCGTCGGCGCTGCTGTCATCCCTGACACACGCATGAGTGCAGAGTTCCTCAAGGCCGTTGCAACCTGTTGTTGCGACACAGCCTTCTTGCTGGTGCCCGTCGCTGCCGTGGACGGCGTCTGCTGCCCAGAGGCCACCAGCGCTGGCGTGGATGCGGTCGGGGTTGGGCGCGGCGTTGCCGCGGCACGGCGCGTGTCCGGGTTTGTCTTGGCAGGGAAGACGGGGCCGGGAAGCGTGTACGATGGATGGCGCTTCTTGTGGTGGTGAACGTGCCCTTGTACTTCCGGCTCCTGGTCATTGCCATCCCCCACCTTTCCTTCCTGCTGCTGCTTGGGGTGGCGTGTCAGCTGCGCGGGCAGCGGCGCCGTGGTGTACAGCGGGTGCTCGACGCGCGGCACAACATGGCGAATATCGCGGTAGCCAACAATGTAGTCGACAATGACGCGGTCGTTCTCGTACACGACGAGCTCGTGGCCGCCGCGCACGGTGCCGAGCACGCCGTCATAGCCCGGCGGCGGCCCCTCCAGGTACGGCATGTTGTGCTGCGCTGGCACAGGGTACACGCGCCCGGGGATGACGCGCAGAACGAGCATGAAGCGCATCTCAGGCGCCGTCTTGCTGCAGGCCATGTTCACGCGCGGCTTCCAGTACGAGTTTGCCTTCTCCGGCTCCAGACCCATGTAAATGCCGCGCCCAAAGTTGCCCACGCGACTGCATTCCTTACGCAGGCCGTACGCGTGGATGCTGTTGATGTTGGGCGCGCTGGTGCAGTGGAAGGCGCGGCGCTCAACACGCGTGTCCAGCAGCTGCGAGACGCGCGCATCGACACAGGAGAGCTCGAGGGGCTGCTGGCTGGCATCATGGCCCGGTGCAGGCAGGGGCTCGAGGCCGCGCGCACGCAGGACACGCTCGCGCTTGGTCAGGTAGCGGGTGCGCAGCTCAAAATTCTGCACGCGGGCCTGCAATGCACAGAGAGAGAAAGGCAAGAAGGGCATGGAGGATGGGTGGGAACGCGGAATGAGAGAGTTGTGAGCGAGGAGAGTGAACAAAATGGATTGTGGGTGGAAGAGGTGGGAGGGTAGGGGACATGATACAGACAAAGGTTTTTCGATTGTCAATGCTGGAACTTACCATGTTCACGACTTGGAGATGTTCGGGAAAGTGCTGCACAATGTGCGAAGCAACGTCAACATCCACCACGTGACAGAGAACGCTCATCTTCTTGCGGACGCGAATGCCGGGCAAGCTGCAAGGCTGCGACAGCGTCTGTTCGCACCGGCAGACGTGCCAGTGATCCACCTCCTCCTCCTCTCCGACGGGGAACTGGGCAAGCGGATCAGCCTCTCTTGGCGCCGCTGCAGTGTCCTTGGAGGGCTGGGGCTGTTGCGGTGCTTGACGATGTTGGTGTTGCAACAGTACCTGTTGCAGGAATTGCAGTGTTCGGGCCGACAGCGCTTGTGGGTTCTGCTGCTGAAGATACTGTTGCAGTTGCTGTTGTTGCAACTGCCGTTGCTGCTGCTGCTGCTGCTGCTGCCTTTGCAGTGTTGCAAATAACTGTTGATATTGCATGGCTGGTGTGGTGGGCTGCGTTGCTCCCAACGCCGCTCGTGCTTGCGCAAGTTGGAGCAACGCATGCAATGACGGGTGTGAGGGCTGCTGCTGATGATGATGGTGCTGCTGCTGTTGTTGCTGTGCGTTCACGGGCACGCATGGCTTGTTGTGCAACGACGTAGAGGGTGTTGATGAAGACAAAGACAAAGACGCTGAAGAAAACGAAGACTGGCTGCTAGGTGCGGTTAGGTTCAACGAAGAAACGGCCGACTGTGGCTGAGCTGCGGTTGGCATTGCGGATGGAGCTGACCCGCAGCCCTTAATCGCACTCGTCGGCCCCAAGGGGGGATGGTTGGATCCAGGATATGTATTGTGGCTAACACGTTGACGCGGCGGGGGAACCTGAGTAAAACTAGGAAATTGTTGTTGTTGCTGTGGCCGTTGTGGCGGCTGTTGCTGCAATCGCTGCTGCTGCTGCATCATTCTCGCAACACTCGGAGGCTTTCGAGGGGCAGGCGACGACTGCTGCAGCTGTTGCACAGATGGCTGAAACCTCTGCTCCATCAAATGCGTGCTATCGACAGGCGCTTGGTTGGCGTCCGTGGTGTTGGCACTGCTGTTAGGATGGCTTGAGGAAAAGTGGGGTGGCTGTTGTGGCGATGGAGGTGCAGAGCCATTGTGTGGCGTGGCATGTGGCGTGGTGTTGGCGGGCGCTTGTGCCATGACGCGTGCGTCGTCGCGGGAGGCTTGGCTGGTCATGACGGGCGCTGAAGCGCAGGCGGCGTTCTTGTTGGCGGGTTGTGTGGTTCGGCGGCTCACTACAGGTGCACTTGTTCGTGCTGTGGTCTCCTGAAGCCTTGATCGTTCCAACTTGGAGCTGTCGCGCTGCTCGCAAGACCACGGCTTAGCCACCAAAGGCTTCGCTGCCGTTGAGTCCGCGCCACCAGAGCAAGCAGAACCGCAACCCAGATCGCCGCCCGCGTTTCCACGCCTGCCTGCCTTGCCACCAGCGTCCTCGTCGTCCTCGCCCTCGTCCTTGCCCTCGTCCTTGCCATTGCCATCAACGCCTTGGTCCTCCTGATCGTCGTCGTCGTCCAGGGAAGAGTTGCTTGAGGTCCGTGCGGTTGATGCACAGCTCGCTGGGTCGCTCCAGGTGGCTGTGCCCGCCGCCTTCAGACAAAGCAGCGCATGGTGGTCCTGGGTCCGGCCATTGGGTGGGGACTGCAGCGAGTGGCAGCCGGAATCCTCGTCATGAAACGCCGAGGAGGGCTCGAGTCTGTCGTCGTTCACCATCGTGGCAAGTGCGTGGAGTGCGTGGAGTGAAGACAGCGGTGAAGATAGCGTCGTGGCGGTTTGGGCGAGGTGAAACCTGAGTCGTTGTGGCGTGTGGTATGTGGTGTGAAATGAAGCGGAGAGAGAGTGCGTGTGCGTGTGTGCGTGTGTGCGTGTGTGCGTGTGTGCGTGTGTGCGTGAGATGATCAGCGTCAAAGTGTGTCGACAGCAAAATGAACGAACGACAGCACACACGCAGAGTAAGGCACACAGGTGGTGTGACACGAAGTGTCATGCGGTCGTAACAAAATGTAACTGGGTGTGTCATTCAGTCAGTCGGCAGCAAAACCGTGTAAGACCACCAGCACCACCAACAACAACAACAACAACAACAACAACAGAGCACACCAGCCTGCACTGGCCAGCCAACACAACTGATCACACTTGACAAACGTTGAGCACAGGCTCCCAAACCAAGCCTGGAAGAGGGCGCAAAACCCGCGTCAGCACGCACAACTGACGACGACAAACACCCTATCTCTCTCTCTCAAGGCTGGGGATAACACGCTCCTTCGTCTCTCCATATGTGCGCGTGTCTACGAGAACGTGTACACGTATCAGGAGCACTGCAGCGTTCACTTACGGCAAGGGCCTGGCTTGATCTGGGTTGCGGCTTGGTGTGTGCTTGCTCTTGTCGGATGAAAATGGCGGTTCACATCAACTCGGGTGCGGAGAAAAAGCACGAAACCAGCAAGCAGCGTGTGTGCGTTGCAGTGTTGCATTCAGACACATCACTCACATCGTCTGTTGTGACTGGGCGTATGTCACGCTTCCGACCTGGTTGACGTGAGTAATGTAATGTAACACTTGCTTGCTTGCTGTGTTGCTCGCGCCATCAAAATCGGGCGGGACATTGTTGCGTTGCTTGTTTTTTGCGATTTGCGACGGCAGGGTACAAAACAATTTCGCCCACAACGCAAGAACACACGCGCACGCACAACGCCGCTTACTCACACAACTCCCACACGTAAATTTGATCGTCACGGTTGTCAAGGATGCCAACGAATCACTGACGAGGCCGACGCGAGCAATGTGTGTGCGTCAAAGCCAAGTATGCTTCACACCAACGGCAGTCAAAAACACACAACGCAGGGGAGCAGGATGGGGCACCCGATGTGTGCGTGGGAATTTGGAATTTCAATCAAGGACAAAAAGCGTTGCCGGTTTTGGATTTGAATTTAGGCAGTTGAGAGTGAAACATGGGACACGCGTGCAGTCAGCCTTGGGGCAAGCACGAGCGCACCGTTCTCGGGCCACACACACACACTCTGTCTCTCTCGAGCTGTCTCTCTTCTCGTCTCGCTTCCCCTTCCTCCTCCCTCTTCGCGCCTCTTCGCTCGTGCTGTTTCTGCGGTCTCCGCCACTTGCCCTGCCCCCGTCCCCTACCTCGCCTGCGTGCAGTGTCCCGCCGCTCCTGCATTCCTTTTTCCGTTGTTCAGTTCTGCTCGGCACGTTCTCTCTTTTGACCGCTACCAATCCCCTTCCCCCACCTCACCACCCCTCCCTCCTACCAGCGCCATGGCGGCCTCCGAAGGAACATCATATCCACTCCACATGATGTGAAGTGATGATGTGATGTCAAGTGATGATGGGGTGTACACACTACACTACACATGCACGTCTGCACGCGGTCAGGTTTCTGTCCTGGGCGCAGCAGGTGTAACGGTTGCGGCAGTGGGTTGCTGGAAGATGCTCGCCAAAAACGGTGGCAGCTGTGTTCGCCGTGAAGGCTGCTGTTGTGCTGGGTTGGTGGGAAACAGCGGGCCAACGACAGCCGTTGTGCTGGCGGGCGCTGAGAGCACCACGCGACACTGCAATGTGGCAGCGCATGATGATGCTGACGGTGGCATGATGGCACCTCCCGTGCCGACGCTGTGAGCTGCGGTGCGCTTGCCTGCTGCTGGTGCAACTGTAGCCGACGCCGTGGTGGGCCTGCTCCTGGGTGTTGCGCTGCTGCCATGGCCGCTGTCGAGGGTGTTGCTCCTGTTCTTGTTCTTGTTGCTGCTCTTGTTGCTCTTGTTCTTGTGCTCAGCACAGGCATCGCCTTGACTTCCACCTCTTCTGGAATCCGCCCCACCTCCTCGCCCTACCAAGGCCTCTGGTGGTTGACTCTTCCCAACGGCACTGCTCACACCGCCGTGCGCATGCTGCTGCTGCTGCTGCTGGCGTTGCTGGCGTTGTTGGCGTTGCTGCTGTTGTTGCACGAGCACCATTGATGACAAGGATGCGGTGCCGTCGCCACCGTCACCAGTACGCTGCGTCAGTCCGCATCGGTAGCCTCCATCTCCTCCTCCTATTGCTGTTCCCGTTGCGCTACCTTCAAGACCATGTCCACCATCAGCACCAGTGCAGTAGAGATGCCGGTAATGGCGCTGGTGGTGCAGCTGTACCAGCTCCAGCGCCACGTCCTCCACGCCGCTGTCCCGGCTACTGCGGTCTCCGTGTCTCCTCCCTGTGTGCCTCCGACGAGTGCTGGTGGTGCTGGTGCTGGTGCTGCTGTTTGTGCTCGTGTTGCTTCGGGCACTGGCGGCTTTGGGTGCGAGCGCGTGCACTGCGGCAAGGCCCGGCATGCCGTTGGCAAAGCAGGCGAGCTGTGCCAGCGCCACCGCCATGCGCCCCGCGTGCGGGCACCCAAGCACCGTGAGCGCGTGCATGATGCGGCGCTCGGGGCCGTGGGGATCGAGCGTGGACGGTGTGCATGGCAGCCGTAGGTGGTGGTCCAGCACTTGTCGGCCACAGCGCCCACGCATGTCCGCGCGATGCCGTGTGCCGTCAGCAAAGGCGCCATCGTCGCCATCGTCATCGCTGTCGTTTTCGTCCTCGCCCAGCACTCGCGCACACAGGGCGGCGTGGAGCGGGCCCAGCGACCCGGCAGGGAGCAGCGGGCAGTATGGCTCGAGCACACACAGCGAGCACGCGGGGTCGCGGTGCCGGATCTCCTCTGCACACCGCACGACAAGGCCGCTGCTGGGGCATCCAAACTCGCCCACAAGCAGCACGGTGGCGGCAGCCAGGTCATCGCACACGCGCGTGACAACTTGCTCCACCGTCGCCGTCTCATTGTACATGCTTTCCCACGTTTGCCGAGGAGCAAAGGGCACGCACACCACGCGGTCGTCCACCCGATCCGTTCGCCCTGCACATGTGTGTCAAGGTGTGTGTGCGTGTGTGTGTGTGTGTGTGTGTGTGTGTGTGTGTGTGTGTGTGTGTGTGTGTATGCGTAGGTTGGTGTGTGTGTATGTGTGTGTGTATGTGTGCGTAGGTGTGCGCGTGCATGTGTGTATGAGTGCATGTGGGTGTGGGTGCAAGTGTGTGCAAGTGTGTGTGAGTGTATGTGTGCGTTGGTGTTGTTGCGTGTGTGTGCGTAGGTGTTTCAGCGAAGAGGAAAAGGAAGAACAAGCAGACAATGCAAGGAGCCAAGCGAGGTCAACAGCGTGGCGTCGCCACGAGCAAACAAGCAAGCAGCAAAGCGAAGGATATGCAGGCACGAAAACAGCGTTCGACATGGTGGGTGTGGCGGCATGCCGAGAAAAGCGCTGTCACATTCACAACATGATCTTGACCATTATTAACACGAACCTCCACGGGGACGCAGAACTGCGACGTTGAGGTTGGATCGCACATCGGTGACGAGAACAAGGGAGCTCCTGTATGCTTCTCCAGCGTTGTGCAACCACCACGCAGCTTCAGTTCGGCGCAAGCACACAGATGTGCCCACACAAAACACAACGACGGCACAGCGCGGCATCCTGCCGCGTCCGTTTGATTGGTTGGTTGGTTGGTTGGTTGGCAGCAAACAAAGAGGAGGAAGCAGCAGAGGAGCAACAGCAACGACGAGCAACAGAGGACTGTCAGGTCGAGTGTAACTGGTGTTGTTGCAGGTTCAGAGGCAGCAGCGAGCGTGCTGCAAAGATCAATCGATCTGACATCAAAGCGGAAGGAGGGAAATCCAAACAACCGACCGAGAGCAAATCTCATGTCACATCTCACAACATAAATTTGTCCAAACACAAAGCGACAACCAAGACCGCGTGTGGTACAACGTGTGGAAATAGTCCGACAACTCTATAACAACCCCTTTGTTGCACAAGCAAGAAGCAAGCACGAGGGGAGTGGATGACGAACACAAGGACCGAGAGGGCCTACCGATACGTTGTGTGTGCGGGTGTTGTCGCGAATCAATGGTAGCATCACCCCGAGGAGCAGTCGCACACCCTGAAATCGAATGGAGCTGAGGTCAGCCAACGACACCAGCAAGATCGTGTTTCAGTGACGTGTGAGGTAGCGCTCAATGGTTTCGTATTCATCGTATTCATCGTATTCGTGCGTGTTCGTGAACAGGAGCAAGCGGCTGGTTGGTCAAAGGCAAAGCACAGCACAAACAAGCAAGCAAGCAAGCAAGCAAGCATCTGCAACCAAAACAAACATTGCGACCTTTGCTCGCGTACATGTGGTTGCTGGATGTGCACATCGCTGGAAGTGAGGCACAGCACGCAACCGGTGCACATCGATCGAACGAAGACAGCACGCAACCCTAACCAGAGCGCAGGCAAGGTCACTCACCGCTGTTGTCCCTGCTCCGCGCTGACTGCGTCGATAACGACTGTCGAAAATCGTGCAAAATCGTACACCAAACGTCAGCAATGTCAACAGACAGCCAGCACATGTCACACACACACACACACACATACGCTCACACGAACACACACACGCACACACACAACGGACACACGCAAAGCACATCCACAAACAACAACAACAAACACACCCCCGACCACATCCACACACAGGCCAAGACGCTGTGACATGACATGAAGTGGCGTGACTTGTTTGAAACGCCCTTCCCTTTGTCCATGGTAGTGAACTAGCTGCAACCGAGACTTGACCCAGGCAACAGCATCAGCAACAAGCAAGAACAGGCTAGCAATCGCAGAAGTCAAGCAGCGACAGCAACAGCTTCATCACTCGAAGACCCACAAACGCAGGACGACTGAAACGCAATCAAGCAAACGCACAGCACACAAGGACGCACACACACACATATACACGTGCGTCTTGCGTGACTTTGCCAGTGCGTGACACAATCTCTCAAAGTCACATTCGACATAGTCAGCTGCTTGTGCACACCTGTCACATACACGTACACATGCACGCGCTGACTCCCCTCTGCCGACATGCTCGGCAGGGTTACGTGCTGCGGGGGTGCCGGGCGCTTTGTCGTGTTGCTGCTCTTAGCCAGCACACGTGGGCACGCACAACCAAGACCGCAATCATCTCCAACAGCCAAAATGGAGCAAGACAATGGAGCATGACATGCGCAGCTGTCACTGCGCGGCTGCCGGAGCGCACCAGCACCTTCGCCTCTCGCTCGTACACCACAACCAATACCTCCGCGCCAGAAACCTCGCCAGCCACCACAACCAAGCGTGTGTCTGCTCCAACCGAGAACCACAGCCACAGCCACAAAGCAGCTCACGTAAGCCGTGCAGCCCTCGGTGCGACTGTGCCCTCCAAGCACACACCCAAGGGTGATGGTGATGGTGATGGCGATGGTGATGGTGGTGCGGCGCGACCAACACCGGCAGTGTCACGCAGCTCGTCAGTTGGCTTTGCGAAACTGGGCCTCAACGCGTTACTAGCAGCGCCCTTGGCTGAATGGAACATCATCACCCCTACGGACGTGCAGGCAAAAGGCTGGAAGCCCATCTCGTTTGGTAACAACACGCTACTCGCAGCCCACACGGGCACCGGCAAGACGCTGGCGTACGCCCTGCCCATAGTGCAGCGGTACATCGACAACGACCTCACCTTCCCCAGGTACTCCACATTGTGCCTCGTCCCAACGCGGGAGCTTGCCGTCCAGGTGCACAGCGTGTTTGTAGCTCTGCTCTCCGCCGTCGTTGGCGACAAGGCATCCCAGCACGTCCATTGCGTGGTCAAGGGTATCGAAAACTCAACACCAAAGAAGCAGGTCTGGCTTCTGTCTGCCTGTCTGTCTGCCTGTCTGCCTGTATGTGTGTGTGTATGTCCGTCTGTCCGTCTGTCTGTATGTCTGTCTGTCTGCGTGTATCTATCTCTGTGTCTGTCGTCATGTCTCCCTCTGTGACTGCGTGCCTGTACCTGTTTTATGTCTCTGTGTCTCTTCTGCACCCACGCATGCCCATGTCTTGCTTGTTATCTATCTGCTCACAGCTCACCCCTGCCACCCGAAACAACGCCTTGCTGCCTACGTTGGCCCATATCAGCTGCGAAAGCTCAAGCGAGAGAACCCACCCATCATCATCGCCACCCCTGCTCGCTTCCTGGAGGTGCGCAACACCATGCTGCTGCTGCTGATGTGTGTGTATGTGTGTGTGTGTGTGTGTGTGTGTGTGTGTGTGTCGGGATAAGGTTGTACGTGTCTTACTTTGCTGCTGTTGCGGCCAACAGCTGCTGGAGAAGCATCCGATTGCAGACGAAGTGGAGACAGTCGTCCTGGATGAAGCCGACAAGGTGCACCTGCTGCATATATCAGCCTCTGTGTGTGTGTGTGTGTGTGTGTGTGTGTGTGTGTGTGTGTGTGTGTGTGTCTGCCTATCTGTCCGGCTGTCCCAGTCTGCTTGGCTTGCGTGGTTTCCCTCGTTTCTCACCCACCATCCACCACATCGCAGCTGCTGGATCCGCTCTCGCGTTACGCCTCTCCAAAGCAGAAGCAGGTGCGGAACGCCTGCATGCATGTGTGGTGTGTGTACCTGTGTGTGTACCTGTGTATGTCTGTGTCTGTCTGTCTGTCTGTCTGTCTGTCTGCCTCTGTGGTGTGTGTATGTCTGTCTGTCTATCCCCGTGTTTGCTTGCCTATTTGCCTGTCTGTGAAAGCGCTCCCACTCCTACACGACTGCGCGCTTGATCTGCCCTCCCTCGCCCACTCACACTCTGCTACCCCCCCCACCCTTTCCAACAAACCCAAAACCTCCTCTTCATCCCACCACACCTGCCATCATCGCCAGAACCGCGAGCGACACCCCCGCCCAACAACAACAATCATGGACCTGATTGTGTACCGCCGGAAGTTTGGTCCGGGCGAAGACAGAAGGTGGGAGGAGGCAAGCACCGCACCAAAGCAGAATGTGATATCAGAGATGGATGTAACACAGACACTGGGCGAGGTTTGATGGAGGGAGACGAGGGTACAGCGTGTGACTGCGGGCTGTGATGTTCAAGCACCAAACACGCGACGTCTTCGCGCGCGCACACACACACGCACACACACACCACGCTCGCGGCTTTGCACGCCGTGTTGTGCGTCGTTTCCGTGTTGCGTGAAGCTGGCCAGTGTACTCACGCTTCGACTGCTGTGCGGGGGATGGTGTGCAGGCCATATCGGCAGATGGCACAGCGTCCACAGGTCATCTGCGCCTCGGCCAGCCTCACCACCAGGGTCAAGCGAGAGGTGCGTTTGCTTCGCTTGCCTTGCCTCTGCTTTGTCTTACCTTTGCGCTTGTCCTTGCCTATGCTTCGTTTTACTTTACCTGCGCCTTGGCCTGTGCCTTGTCTTCCTCGCTACACTCTGCGCTTCCTTGCCTTGTTTGATTGGTTGTGGTCATGTGCTGTTGTGCAGCTGCTCTCCCCCCCCCCCTACACCCCACTTCATTCCGTTTCCACTCATGCTCACCCATGCAACGCACCCCTCAACCCACCACGATTGCCGTCGCCAGCTTGTGCAGCGCGGGTGGTGTGCGCCCCAGTCCATCACTACTGTGTCGTTGACAGATGGCCAAACGTTGCCCGACAATCTGCAGCATTTCGTCGTCAACGATGCCGTCTGTGCCAAGTTTGACATGCCATATATCGGTTCGTTGCATGCACGTCTTGTTCTGCACAATGCCCTTCTCGTTCCTTCTCCCTTCCCTTGACCCCTTCCTTCCATGTCCTTTGTTTTCTTATCTTCCTTGTCTTCATGCTCTGTTCTTCGCTTGCGCTCCTCGTCTTGCTTGGCTGCATCTTGCTTCCCGTCAAAAAGGGCACAGCTCACGCGCTTCCTCTCCCCTCCCGGGTCTCCGCCTGTGGTTTAACCTTTAACCGTTTCATCTTTGTGCACAGGTGCCGGCTCCACTGCATCCCAGGCGGACTGCCTGTTTGCGCAGCTGGAGTGGACACTGTCCGCCCTGGCGCCAGCGACGGCGCTGGTGTTTGTGCCGACATCTGTCCCTGTCAAGGACACGACAAACCGCATTGCACAGTTCCGCGCCCGCACGCGCACCGCTGTCGACGCCATTGCCGTATACGAGCACGTGCATGCGGCCACCAGCCCTGCCGATGCCGCACAGCGCAGGGAGGACCTGCTTGCGCGGTTTGCATCCGCGACGCCGGAGCGCCCTGTTGTGGGCGTGGCCAACATGGACGCGATTCGAGGACTGGACATCCCAAACGTCGAGCTGGCATGCATCGTGGGCACCCCCCGCACACACGTGGACTATCTGCACATTGCCGGGCGCGTTGGGCGCGGGAACAGGCAGGGCACGGTGGTGGTGTTTGCATATGACGAGCAGCAGCAGAAGCGCGTGGACCAGATGGCGCGCAAGCTGCGCATCTCCATTCCGCAACTCAGCCCGACCAACGGTGGCCCGGGCATTGCTGGCGGTGCAGGTGACGATGGTGCTGGTGCAGACACGAATCACGCGGCTGGCAGCAATTTGTCCTCACCACCAACCGACACCCCGACGCAGCGGCGATGATGATTTCATGCGCTTGCGTGCGCTTGTTTGCACGTGTGCGTTTGTGTTGACATGGGCGGGTGTTTGCATGCATATGCATACATGCGGATTTAGATGGACCTAGGCCCCTTTCGATTGACGAGATGACGTTATGTAAATTACACCTCACTCAACACGAGTCAGGGTAACAAGCGACACATCACAACTTGACATGATTGCGTGCGGGCTTGCAAAGTACATATTTTGTGTGTGTCTGTGTGTGTGTGTCTGTGTGTGTGTGTCTGTGTGTGTGTGTGTGTGTGTCTGTGTCTGTGTCTGTGTGTCTGTGTCTGTGTCTGTGTGTGGAAGTTAGCCCTGCTGGAGCGCGAACACACAATCATTGATGTATCGTAACAGATATGCACAAAAATACATACTTCCACCCCATCCTTTCTCGCTCCCGCATGTCGAGACCAAAGTGCAACGCCACCAACAGCTGTGCGAGCCAAGATCTCATGCAGAACAACGAGGTCGTGTTCTTGTTAAATGTTACACTTGGGTTGCCTCAGCCCGCGTGTCTTTCGCCTGTGCGCCCTGGTTCTGGTGAGGGTTGGAGCACACGTCAACAAGCACGCTCCAGGGCACAACGTCCGCTGCTGTTGTGGCACTCGTTGGTGACCGAGTAAGGCACTTCTGGAACACCTGGTCACGTGTGCATTGGTGCACATGCAGTGTGTGGAGTGTGAATGACTATCATGCCCAGATGTTCGAGTATGGTGCGGGCACGCACCTGGCACGCACGGGCATGCAGACATGTGAAGCACCCCCAGCGTGCCGAACGGCCCCACGCACCCCTCCTCCCCGCTCGGTTTCCTCTCTGTATTACCTCGTCCAACATGGTCTTGGTTTCGGGGTGCATGAAGCCTGCAGCGTCCAGCACGAGCGCATACCTGCAAGCACACACCATTGGGCAAAGACCAGATTCGTCAGCGCAACACCGCAGCCTGGCGTGTGTGCACAGGTTCACTCGCACCCAGCGCACCAATCAGTGTGGGAAGAAGCGCAGTGTTCGAATGCAACAGGACGTGACGCTGTGGTGTAGCAATAAGAGACATGGCGCACCAATCATATCTGCTGATGAGGGTGCCGCCGTCCAATCGCCCATGCAAGCGCTGCAACAACAACAACAACAACAACAACAACAACAGCAGCAGCAGCAGCAGCAGCAACATATGGGGGTGCATGCAGGCAACAGTGAGGCTGCAGAGAAAGGCTCCAGCAACGGCTGGAACCGATACACTGTCTACCATGCACAAGAATCAAGAATCGCCTTGCTGTGCAAAATCAAGGGCAAACATGCAAGGCATGAGCATGCGGCAACCCAGGACGCACAGAGACGATTTTGAATGCGGGTGGGGGCCCAAGCTCGAGAACGGCGCGGCGAACTACGCGCGCAAGAAGCAAGGCCAAGGCGAACACCCAAAATACAAGCAGCAACTGCAGGGGGAGGCACAGTCCCAACCATGGACGGCAGGAGTGGAAGCACATGAACGTGGCACTTGAGTACTGTTGGGAAGACAAGTCACATCAGGAGCACCAAAGGAAGACAGACTGGACGAACGAGGGTGTTGTCATGCGATTCTACAACCTCACTTTGCATATTACATTGGGTCACAGCACTTGCCACAGCACTTGCCACAGCACTTGCCACAGCACTTGCCACACCATAGCCACTTGTCAGTCACACCATTGAATGAACTCACCACAAATAGAATGCATGCAATCACGTTGCCCGCGTTTGAACTCGGGTGACTTGTTGTTGGCAGTGAGGTTGCCGCAGATATGCACCTAAGCACAAGGCAGGAGCAACAAAGTGGAGGGAGCAAACAACAAATCCAGGAGTTGATTGGCATGGGTGGATGACAGTCGGAAGATATGCGATGCGATGCGCTCATGTGGCTGCAAATGGATGAGTCCGCATCGGCAGTTTCACAGAGTGCAGGCGCAACCGTGTCAGCACAGGAGGCCACGTACCACATCAGCGCTTCAGGGTATGTGAACGAGTCGTCTGCATGCATAAGAGCGACCGGGAACAGCGCTAGGAAATCGTGGAACAAACGGACACCAGGTGTTGTTACAGGTGTGAATAACCAGCGCTTTGACCCATGGAAGGCCCTTCACAAAACAACCAAGCCCACACCGTGCATGGTGCTTGCTTCGAGCGCCGAGCATGAACACGTGACTCACCCGTGCATAGGAGGGAGAGACCACCAAGCACCCATATCGCCCTCGGAGACGACACAAATGACAGAAGGACTCGAACAACACAGCCTTGTCGTTGCTGCTCTGCCGCAGGTGTGGGCAGACCCGGAAATGCTCGGCGCAACCGGGCGTGATGCAACTACATGAAGGTGTGTGTGTGTGTGTGTGTGTGTGTGTGTGAGTGTGTGTGTGTGTGTGTGTGTGTGTGTGTGTGTGTGTGTGTGTGTGTGTGTGTGAGTGTGTGTGTGTGTGTGTGTGTGTGTGTGAGTGAGTGTGTGTGTGTGTGGGGGGGGGCACATGGATAGCGTCTACAGGCCGTGGTGTTGTGTCAATGAGCAGGTTGTGTTCGAAGAAACAGGCGAGTCTGTGTCGCCAGGATAGCAGCCCTGTGTCGGTGCTACAACTCCAATGTTGAGACTCCACTCACGCTCAGGTTGTATCCGAGTAACAGCCGAGCTCCCCGATACGCGAACCAGCAGAGGAGCGCCACGCTGAGTGCTACATCAAGGCATGGCGGCAGGATGTGAAGGCGGGATGATAAATGAGGTGCACCAGCACAAATACACACACACACAGAGGGGGAAGAACGCAACCGAAGAAAGGCCAAGCAATGTGCAATCAAATACACCCCTTTGCTGCGCGCAGCATGGTTGCGTACCGTATGACAACACTGAGAAGACCAGCACGATGGCGGTGTCGCCATCATCCAACTGCTGCCCTGTCAGTGTGGAGCACGCAAAGAATGATGATGAAAGTGGCAAACAAAGCGTCATGAGATTGACAACCCATCATGAGATCGCCAAAGGGACCGGGCAATTGGAGAATAGAGCACCACCATATGTATGTACCACCACAAACACAAGCACAAGCAACAACACCGGCACTACTAGCACATACACCAGCACCCACACAGACACAAGAAATGCAACAGAGGTGCGTGCGCAGCTGGTGTTGCTCGCAACGTGGCAAGAGCAGCCTCCTCACCGAGTGGTACAGCTGGATCACCCCAAAACACTGATGTTCATGGGGCAACGGCGGTACAGAGCGCCAGAACAAGCACGAACACCAGACACAGCGTAACACACACAAAACAAAACGGATCGTGAGCATGCATGCAGGCAAGCAGCAATTTGCCCGCGTTTGCAAATACACACACACACACAATCGCATACACATGCACATTCACACGCACGCATGTGCATGGCCAAGCGCATACAGAGACACACGTATGCGCGCAGCACATGAGGACACACCTGTCTTGAGGGCAAAAAGGGTCGCGCGGGATGCGCGCCAGCCAACAGCTTCCGACAGGTAGAGGCTGATGGCAAGGCAGAGCACTGCCTGCGCAAGTACGATACCTGCGCAGATGGCCCAAGCAGGCAAAGCACCCAGGCCTTTTGCACTTGCGGAGGCAGTCGGTGCATAATCAAACACCTGCGGCCGCAAGAGTTGGCCCAGGGAAACCTGGGACACACAACAACACAAATGGCGGCCACGGCAACGTTGAGCGTCAACCCAGAAGGAAGTCGCAGTGAGACAGACACATGGGCAGAGGGCGGGAAAGCGGTCTGGCAAGCAGGCAGATACACGAGCGGAACGGCAGACAGGCAGAGAGACGAGCGGACCGGCAGAAAAACGGCAGGGAGGTTGAGAGGCAGAAAACAAAGCGCACGGTCGCGCAGGGCAGACAGTCACGCAAGATATCGAAATTTGGCCTCTGGGCTCCGCCAACGAGTTGGACGTGCCTGCAGGCAAAACAAAGAAACCAGGAGAGGGCAAACGAGCAGAGCAGAGGGGGGGGGGCGAATAAACACAGCGAGCCTCACCATGCTGTTGTTGGGCACGTGTGCGCCAGCTATTGCTCCTTGTAGCAGCTCCTCATCCTCGGCAGTTGTGTGCTGGTTGGCTGCTGCAGGAGCGAAAGATGCACTGATCCTGGACCTCGATGTTCGGCTGGTGCTGGACACAAGCCAGCTCTTCCGCTGGTTTCGCCTGCTTTGGTCATCACCTGTACCAAGCGTATCGACCGCAGAGCCATTTAGTGTACCACCGGCACTGGCCGCTCTCTCGCTCTCCTCAGCTTCCAGAGCTTCTGCACCGCGGCGGCGGTCGTCATTGCTTTGGTCCGTGGCCACGATGGCTCGCGGCTGCGGCGGTGGCAGGGCCGACAATGGAATTTCCCCTCCTCGCGGCGGCGGCGGCGGTGATGTTGTCTCGTCAGCGACGCGATTGGAACGCAGCAGCGCGTGCGACGACATGATGTGACAGGCGTGTCGGTGGGTGTGGGTGGCTGGAACAGCACCTCGCTTTGCCTGCTGTGTTTGCCTTCTTGGGGCTTGCTTGCTTGCTTGCTTGCTTGTTGCTTGGTTTGTTTTTTCGAGGTTGAAGGCGTTGCTTTTCTGGCACGATTTCCACAACTTTTCTACAAACGATGACCTCGAAACGGAAGCTGCTCAGGGTCAGTCAGTGGTGCTTGCTGGCTGGTGTTGTTTGTGTTTGAATGTGCGTGTGCGAGCTGGGGTGTGTTTGTATGTTTGTGCTTGTGTGAGCTGCGCTCTCCCTCTCATGCTCGCGCTCCTCCTGCCTTCACTTTCTCCCTTTCTCTCTCATCACCTCCTTCTCTTCCCTCCCTCCCTGTGTGACTTTCTCACCCATTGCAGGGCGTTGCTCCCGCGCTCATCACGCCGTTCCTGCCTTCTGGCGAAGGCGTGGACACAGACGCTGTGAGGGCACTCGTCAAGGTCAGCAGCTCAGTGAACAAGTGCGCGAGAGGTACCCATACGCGATGACAGCAATCCGTGTGCACAGCGCTGCTCAGATGCCTCGCCTCCCCCAACTTCAAACTGCCTGCAACCTTGTGCGTGCTGTGCATTCCAGTTCCACCTTGATGCGGGCGTGCATGGTTTCTATCTCTGCGGGTCAACTGGCGAGGGTCTACAATCCAGTGTTCAGGAACGCAAGGTGCTTTCCGCGTGAGTGGGCGCTGTTGGGAGTGATGGTTCCGCTTGTCTTGTTCATTTATTTCGACTGCTGTTCGCTCATACACACGTTGTATCTTCTCTTGCCTACCTTCCCGTCACCCCTGTTGACTTGTCTGACACTGGCAGACAATGGTTGAGACAGTGATGGCGGCCATGGAAGAGTGTGGCAAGAAGGTATGAAACACGCAGATACAGCACGTGTGCTCACTTCTGCACCCAGTGCTTGTGCCTGCAATGCACCTGCTCACAGTGCAAGCACACTTGTTCTCACGTGTGTTTCTATTTCTGTGTCTGCGTCGGTGTCTGTGTGTCTGTGAGTGTCTCTCTCGCCCACTCACACACACACACATACACACACTCTCTCCCTCTCTGTCACACACTCACACACACTCACTCACACACTCAAACACAATGTAGATCCCAGTCATCGTCATGGTGGGCGCTGCAGATGTTGCGGACGCAATTGTGCTAGCCAAGCACGCACAGGACGTCGGGGCTGACGCCGTGTCTTCCGGTGCGCGTCTGCGTTCATAGTCTGAGTGTTGCATGGGGTGTGAATGTGTGTGAGCACATATTATGTCTGTACATACGTGGGTCCAATCGAGGTTTGAGATCTGAAGTGCTGGCGTTGCGGTGTGGGCGCTGGTCAGTGACTCCGCTGTTGTTCGCACGCGCGGAGCTAATGGCAACGATGCCTTGTGTGTCACCCTTTGCGCAGTGGTGCCTGTTGACAAACCCAACGATCTGGGCGCTGCTGTTGAGTACTGGACGCAGATTGGGCAGGCAACGTCCCTGCCGCTCTACGTGTACTGGATCGCCAAGACTGCTGACCGTACCGCCACTGCTGCTTCTGTGCGTTTGCCGTCAACCAGCCTACCTGCCAGTGCCCTGTGACACCATGAAGACACTTAGCAACAGGTGGACGCGGTGTGGCCTCTTCTCTCCTTTCATCCATCATCTCACGCGCCCATGTGTTCTGCGTGCACGTACACTCGCAGTTTCTCAAAGCAATGGCGGCTGTCCCAAACTTTGCTGGCATCAAGTTCACAGATACCAACTTTTTCATGTTTGAACAGCTGGTCACAAAGTCCCAAGGTGCGTCCGTGCTTGTGTGTGTATGTGCATGTGTATGTGTGTGTGTATGTGTGTGTGTATGTTTGTGTATCTGTGTGTGTTTGCGTTTGTGTTCATGAATGAGGAGGCTGTTTGTTGTACCTGATTGCCCACTTCGGGCTGACTTGTCTGCTGTCGTGAACTCTCTTGCTTGC